ATCATCAAATTGATATAAAAAATAATAAAATACGCCATTGATTATAATCCATTCCTTGAAGAGAATGTGACTTGTGATAAGCATTGAGAATGCAGACCCATTCCTAAAGGTGAATGTGGCAGTATGTGATAAAAGTAATGAATAAAGACATGCAATGCATGATTAGATGAATACCACACAACTCACCTCTAAGGGAGGTTTGAGTGAAATAAAGAGAATAAATATTATTGTGTGGTTACATGAATATGTCATTGGTCGCGTACATGTGATACGCCAAAAAAATATTTTGGTGTGCCTTATAAAAGATCATTAAAGGCAAAATTAAAGCAAAAAATAATTTTTCTTATGATGATTTTGACCATGACAATTTATTATGATATAATTTTCTCCGTGAAGGAGACATTTACCATATGAATGGTGTGACAAAAAAAATAGTAGTACAAAAGTTGTTAAGAACTCCGGAAAAATTAATTTGTTACTACCCAGATAAATAAAATTATTCACGACATTGACATTGTAAAGTCTCAAAAGAAACTTTTTGAGTTTCAAATGTATAAGTCAAAGTGGTTGGCATATTGAGATTATAAATGAAAGGAATATTGAATATCTTCGTATTTCTATAATCATAACCGGTAAATATGAAAGATTACCTGATTTTCTTTCTATTTGTACTACACAAATATAAGCATGATAATGAAATCATATGTCACAGATAAACTAGAGGTTTACTGAAATAAATATTAGTTTGCATGACCGGTTGACCATCTCGGTTCAATTATGATGCGAAAAATTAATAGAGAATTACATTGACATATATTGAAGAAATATAAGATTCTTCAAGAATTCTCTTGTGCTGCTTATTCTCACGATATACCAGTTAAGGTTGGGATTGAATCCTTTGATTTCTGGAACGAATAAAAAGTGATAAATATATGGGCTCAGTCACCTTCCATGTGGACTGTTTACTATTATATGATTTTAATAGATGCATATATTATATGGTCACATGTGCATTTGTTATCAACTTGCAGTTTGGCTTTTGGAAGATTGATTGCTCAAATTATTAGAGCACAGTTCCGGAATATAAATTATGATGATTTATCTTGATAATATTGGTTTAAATACAAGTTGATTTAGCAGAAATTGTATGCCTCCAATTATATCTAAACCATTGGTTATGATAATAAAATTGCCAAAATAAAATTTGGTATGTGATGTATTATTTAATATACAACATCACTTGTACGCATCTAGCCAAGTTATGATAAGTTCTCCCTATCACAATCGGTTCAGGGTCAGGAACTAAATAATTTCCATCTAAAAATATGAATGTGCTATATGATTTAATTATTCCACCACAATGTACAAAGATGGATCCTCAAATAAGGCTAGGGATATGTTTTGGTGATCCCAACAATAGGGGGAGAAAATGGGCAGCTGAAAAAGTAATGCATGTAATGAATTATTATGAGTACATCTAGATCCTCGTATGAGAAAATGTGAACTTGAAGTTCAAGAGATTATTTATTTGTAAAATATTGCCAGACGTATTTGCTGACCCAAAGCTAAATGTCATATTCAGCTGCTAATGCTCCAAATAAAATGAAGTTCATAATGAATAGAGTCTATGGCATGCACGAAGCATAATAGACTAATCGGTTCCAAAGATAAAACTCCTTGAAGAAGGAGATGAGCAAATGTGCAAGATGGTCATAATAAGGAGGCAAGTGCTCTAGAAGAGCACCGCGACATAACACTTCATAAAACATCATAAGAGAGGCTCGGGTACCTGAAAATAATAAGTTAAAGAGATCTCAATAAGTTATGTCTTTATTGGGTAATAGTAGAACCGATATAAAATGATCGTCGACGATATTGTTAATATAATGTAGTGCTCAATATTATTAATATTGACGAGGATTTTGAGCTCAAATCTGTCATGAAATTTGGACAGATAAATGATTGGCCAAATAAAAAATACGCAATGAAAATTAATTTCACATGAAAAATATGAAGTTGGACGGATAGTCCCAACATCTGAAAGTATAAAGCCAGTGGAGGTATAAATATGTTCTTGTGCGAAAAAAGGTCAAGTCCATAGACATAAAGACGACTTGTGTCATAAGAAGATTTGTAAATATCCTGGTATTGATTATATAGAGACATGTTCTCCTGTGTTGGATGTCGCAATTTCAGGTTTTAATCTGGCAATACAAGAAAAATGTGATATGTGTATAATGGAAATCATTGAAAGATTTAAATTGTTCTGATGCATATTAAGGTTTCCAAAAAATTTATTAAATAAAGCTTCAAAAATCCTTATACGGATTGAAACAATTAGGGAGTATGTGGTATAATCGCCTGAGTGATTACTTGTTGAAAGAGGGGTACAAGAATGATTCAATTTGTTCTTGTGTCTTTATAAAAAGATGTGAATCTAAATTTGTTATAATCGCCGTGTATGTTGATGATTTAAATATCATTGGAACTCCTAGGGAGCTTCCTACAGCAGTAGACTATTTAAAGAAAGGATTTGAAATAAAAGATCTTGAAAAGATAAAATTTTGTCTTGGTCTACAAATTGAGTATATGAAAGATGGAATATTTTTCCATCAATTAACATACACTAAATTTTTTTTTAAAGCGATTCTATATGGATAAAGCACATCCATTTAGTACCCCGATAGTTGTGAGATCACTCGATATAAATAAAGATCCATTCTGACCTCATGAAAATAATAATGAGATTCTTGGTCCTGAAGTACCATATCTTAGTGCAATTTGTGCACTAATGTATCTTTCTAATATTACAAGGTCTGACATAACTTTTCCAGTTAATGTCTTAATAAGATATAGCTCAGCTCCTACAAGGAGACATTGGAATGGAATCAAACACATATTGCGGTATCTAAAAGGAACTACCGATATTGGATTATTTTATGGCAATGATTACAGTCCCGATCTTGTTGGTTATGCCGATACTGGGTATTTATCTGACCCATACAAGGCTCGATCTCAAACAGGCTATGTGTTTACATATGGAGGCACTGCCATATCTTGGTGATCGACTAAGCAATCAATCGTGGCTACTTCATCTAATCATGCTGAGATAATTGCTATTCATGAAGCAAGTTGAGAATGTGTATGGTTGAGGTCTATAATACACCTTATTCGAGACAAATATGGTTTGAAGTGTGACAAACTACCCATAATTTTGTATGAAGACAATGCAACATGCATATATAGTCCAATTGAAGGGCGGATTCATAAAAGGGGATAAGACAAAACACATTTCACCAAAGTTATTTTTCACACATGATCTTCAAAAGAATGGTGATATCAATGTGCAACAGATCCGTTCAAGTAAAAATATGGCTGATTTGTTTACCAAATCTCTACCGACGTCAACCTTCAAGAGACTAGTGTACAAGATTGGGATGCGAAGACTTAAGGATGTGAATTGATGCTCTCATCAGGGGGAGTTAATACGCGTTGTACTCTTTTTTCCTTACAAGGTTTTGTCCCACTGAGTTTTCCTTACATGATTTTTAACGAGGCAACTAAAAGGCGTATTTCTAAACATGTGTACTATTTTTCCTTCACTAGGATTTTTTCCCATAGATTTTTTTCCTAATAAGGTTTTAATGAGGCACATTATCTATGGACATCTAAGGGGAGTGTTATAAGAAAAATCAAATTATGGTGGATGTCTACTCTTCCTCCATGATCTTTTCAAATGTTTAATGACATATTCAATGCCATATTTTTCTTCACTTTTCATGTATATATAAAGACATTGTAATAGATAGAAAAATACACACAATTGAAGAAGAAATAAAAATTTCTCATCTCTTTCTCTCTATATCTCTTAGCTTGTTTTTTCTTGTTCTATATTATTATTTTGAGCTATGTTTCATAATAAGATGCTTTTATTTAAGTATTACTTTAAAGTTAAACCAAAAATAGAATATTATATTAGTTACTACTAGATATTATTATAATGATGATTTGAATATTTTAAACAACACATTATATTAGTTATACAAGATTCTATGATCGGATTATTTTTTAAAACCAAATGACACCTACGCCTCAATTTCTATTCTTCCACACAAATAGTTGCAAATTTGACATTTTCCTTCCTCTTATCTTCCGAAAACTTTATTGGCGAAAGATAGGAGTATGATATATTGTTATAAACAGTTTTATTGTAAATCAAGCTCATTGAGTCATATGTTTGATATTTCTCTCATACTCTACTAACGTTAAGATTATAACAATTCCTCAAAGTTCTTACTTCCCCCTTTTTGTTTGTATAAAATTTGTAAGACTTGAAATGCCATATAAGAGCAAGTCTTGTGCCTCCAAGGTTCAACATATTCACAAGATGAATCTCGTAAAAATAATACTATATATGTATGTTAAATTGGTGTGCTATCATAATTGATCGGATGAGAATAGTAATGATTATATTTGACGAAGAACATAAGTAGGACATGTAGAGTTTAAAATGAGATATAATTGTTTAAGATGATTTTACATGTCCTAGGAATACTCCATACACATCAATTCGTAGGTATTACAATATACTTAATTGAAAATAAATAGGAAAGAGTTAAACCTAAAATCACAAAGAATAAGTTATTTTACATGGATTTATTTAAAATTAAGCACAATGACAAGAAAATAAGGTTCTTGTAGACGACAACAAATATGAATATACGTGTAATTGCTATTCATGTTAGGTCCAATATTTGTAAGAATAAGCACAATGATAATAAAAGGTTCTTAAAAACTATAGCACATCTGAATATACGTTTAATTGCTATATACGTTAGGTCCATATGAGTTGAGAGCTCTTTTAGCCTGGTTAGCATCTGTCTAAATATATGTATTAGACGTAGAGAACCTCTAATTTTAGAGCAAGCGTTAAAAAGACAAATCATTTCCTATTGGAATGAAAAACACTTGAATAGAATGGAAATATCACAAACGATACATAAAGCTGACGACTCCAATTAAATTTGGATTGAGCCATAGTTAATTGATTCATTATTTCAAACTTTAGTTTAACCTCTTGGTTATTGTTGGTGAATGGTATATATATAATGGGCTCACATGCATTCCTGGTAATTTCAACATTGCTTTTAGCAAGCTCTCATTGAGAAGAAAGTCTTGAACTCCCTATACAATCTAAACTGTAGCTAACATACAGACAACTTAACAACCCAACAAGAGCATTATCACAATTGGCTTATATATGGACCATTTTCTGCTCCAACGTCCCTTTCGATTCACTATATATCAATATATGCAAGTTGGTTTTCTCTTGCTATCTCTGGCTGATTTTTCTTTCTCCCAGTCCGAGAGCGTAGGGGTGATTTTTCATGTATGTTATTTACAACTTCAGACTATTACTTCAGGGAACTTAGAGGAACAAGTTAGCACAGCATCTGCAACAGTGAGAAATATCTTGTCCTCGCCAATTTGGCTCACGAAATTGGATGCGTGCAGCTTGTCGATCACTTGTCTTCCAGGGTTTGAGAGAATAAGCTGTTCGTGCGCGCACAAACACACAAAGGGTAAGATATCAAGAGACCTATGGTTTTATTTTTAGTTCAGATACTATGTTTGGGTATGATTATTAAGCTTTACCTGAACTTCTCTCTTATGTAGGCTTCTGTGCAACTCTTCAAAGGCATGGATGCCACTGGTGTCAATGTCAGTCACGGCTGCAAAAGAGTAAGTGGAAAAACATGAAATATAAGTATCATTTGCAAGAAGTGTGGTAGCATATATATTGCTTGATTTTTTTATTTTTTTTTACAAGGTAATCGTTCCCCACTTACGTGACATGTCAACAATCAAGAACCTAATTTTAGGAAAGCCAGCGGATTCTAGTTGCTCGTCCTCATCCGTTACCCATCTCAATATCCTGGAAAACAAGTTCATTCTCTTGAATTACACACACTTTTATCTATCTATCTATCTATCTATCTATCTATCTACTCAGATTGAAGATAGAAGAAATAATGGCTTACCTTTCTCTCGTGTAGTTAGAATTTGAAAAGTAGATAGCAGAATCAACTCTCACAATTAGTACACCGGGAACTTGTGTTGCCTCGGGATATTGTTGAATGTTCCTATATACATTTGTCCTGGGGATCTTGCCAAGAATAGCTGTTCGTGGCCTGGTGACTTGGAGGAGAATCTTAGCAAATGATATTGAGACCTATTTAATAATAAAGACAACAAAATCCAATCATTAAACCATCACGGCTTTCCCTTATGAAATTGTTAAGCCTTCCTGAGAGAACTACTTACCGCAATTAAAAGACCTATCTCAACAGAGGCGAAAACCACACCAAAAAATGCTCCCATACAAGCAACAAAATCAAATTTGTCGATCTTCCAAATCAAAATTGCGGCTTCATAGTCTATTAATCCAATGACAGCTGAGATAATGATGGCAGCGAGGATTGCATTTGGAGTGTACTCAAAAAGAGGGGTTATGAACAACAACGTCAAGAACACAACAACAGACATGATAATGTTGGAAACTGCAGTTTGGCATCCAGCCATGTAATTTACTGCTGATCGAGAGAAGGAACCTGCAAGAGTGAATTGATCCATTAATTAAAGAATGCCAGGATAAATGAAACACATTAACAGATCAATCAAACATTGATTCCTTAGGCTGCATGGATTTGAAGCCTAGGCATCGGATCGTTAAATATCATATGTTTTATTAGAACTTTATTCATTTTTATCTACCTGTTGTCACATAGCATGATGTCATTGAGCCAACGACATTCATTGCTCCAAGTGCCACCATTTCTTTGTTTCCATCCAACTGGTAGTCCTTCATTGAAGCAAATGTTCTTCCAATTGCAACGGCTTCCTATAAACGAGAAGGTAGAAGTACGACAATTGAGTGGAAGAACATAAAAAGCTCCTGTTTCAACTTTTATTAATCAATTTTCTTACCGTCAATGCAATCATTCCAGCTACAATACCAATCTTTAGCCCTTTTAGGAGATAATCACCAGTGAAATAGATTTCACTGACAGAAGGAGGATTGATTCCTTTCTCAATGTGCCTCACCTGGTAAGGTCATCACAGGAAATTTTTCATTAAGTTCAAGTTAAGTGATACCAGAAACTTATCAGAAAAAAAAGTCAATGGTACCAAAGAAGCACCTAAAGCAAGCACTTACAATCTCGACTCCCTTTTTTTCAGCATGGGTTATGTAGACCAAGAAGGTGGAAAGAATGACAGAGATCAGAGGAGCAATTGCAGGTATCCAAAACAGCTTTTTGTTCTTCTTTCCCTGATTTTCAAAATCATTTAGGAATCAACAAAAGCTACCAAAGCACTTCAACTTAAGTTATAGACAAACGTTAGAACTCTTACAGTGTACTTCGCGAACAAAAGGAAAGTTAAAAAGGTTGCTCCAATGAGAATTGTCGGCCAGTTCCACTGCAAGTTTTTTGCCAAAAAAAGAAGGTGCTATTAGTCATTTATGCAGATAAAACCTCTTAAGAAGGATGCCTAGAAGGACAAGATAACTCACTCCATGGTGAGCCGAACGCCATACTGATTTCATCACAGAAATGATATCAGTTTCCTTAGTAAACTTTTTGATGCCAAGAAAACCTTTAAGTTGCTGGAGAGCAATTGTAATGGCTGCACCACCCATGAAACCCACGACAGCAGCATGAGATAAGAAATCGATTAAAAATCCCAACCTGAAAAGGAAGCAAAGCAGTAGTTAAAGGTAGCTGTCCGTTGGCAAGTCAGAAAGGAAAAAGAAAGCAACAAGTGTCTTTGCATCAAATGAGATGAAGAAAATCGAAAGCATAAGTGCACAACTACAAGCTTTTAATCTTGGCAATTCTTGTATACCTTAAGATTCCAAGAGTAGCTTGGGTAATGCCAGCGAAAAAAGTAGCTGTAAATGCAAGTCTCCTGTATTCATTTGGATTTGTAGTTGGATCAATTTCATTGCTAAGCAGAGACCCTAGCAATAGTGATACAACAGCAACAGGTCCTATCGCTATATCTCTCGAGCTACCCATGAAGGCATAAATCAAAGGTGGAACAAAGCTGGAGTCTGGCAAAATTAAGAAAAAACATGCATGAAAGAGGGTTCATGCAACTTTACCAAAGGTATACTAATTAAGCAAATGCACACTTACATAGCCCATACTGAGGAGCTAAGTTTGCGAGCTTTGAATAGCCAATGTCCTGTTAAACCAGTTGCAATATAGTCAAACTCATGAAACATAAAAGTCCAAACTTGTTCAATTGATTTACACAGGTCCTATGTGCATGCTCTAAATATACCTGAGGAATGCAGAGACTTGCAATAGTCAAACCAGCAATAAGATCACCTCTAAACTTAGAAACATTATAGCTTCTACCCCAATCTAGTATGGGAAATACAGCCTGCCAACCAAGGACAAACTTCCGAGACCTTGACTGATCTTTAAAGGAGCGTAGAGGATCATCTGCAAACAATGTTTCCTTTACAGTAGTCTTAAATTCATCGAATAGTTTCTGTTTCGGTGGGACTCCAACCTTGTGCATATATGGTGCTTGTTGGTGTTGAGGGGATGGCAAACTTTGGTAGTCCATTTCTTTTGTTTCTATTGCCTCAACGCTAGATCGACCCATCTTAGATTAGAATTGGCTAATTCACCTGTAAGGCAGAGGTAACATAATTTCTATTACATCAGTAAGAGAAATACTAAATTCCAATACAAGCCAAATCAGCAAAATGCATTTGACACCTCACAAAGGCTGGTGCTCAATTTAACTAGCTTCTACTCAGCACTAAACAAATACTCCAATGTTAGCATTATTCAGTGATACATTCACAAAACCTTGATAGTAACTAATAAGAGAAAGATGACAGCAAAAACAATCAATTCTATAGAGATGGAGCCATGACAATATACTAAATACCCTCTCAAATCTCACGCATGCAGGAAATGACGGAGAGCTATATTGCTATTAAAAACTTTGTGATCTTCTTGAACTTTGGAGTGCCTTAGCTTGGAAAGTTCTTGCTTTCACTTAATATAAATTGTCAGAAAATTCGAGCATCAAGCTTTATTATCTTAAAGAAAGGGTTACTGGTATATGCAACTAAGCACGAATCTTGATCATTTTGCTTAGTGCATACTGGTGTTGGAAACTAAAAGAAAACCTTTTGTATTTTATCTAACAGAAATGGATGTCCACAGCCATTGGTTTATTTACAGTGAGAATTTGGATCGTTTTTAATGTTAGTATTTCTTGAAAGCATATTTAATATGATAGATTCACGAAGACAAGATTGACATCCAAAATGTAAAAATAACAGCTAAAATTTTCAAGCTACGTTCTCCTTTCTGTCTAGGTATTTGGAAATACAATAGTCAATGTAGGCCGGTCCTTGCATTTGGGAGCGCCAAATGGCTTTAGCACGTAGAGATTTCATGGTTACAGATAAGATCACGTAACTAGACAGTACCACAAAAATAACGGAGTCACAATTTACACGGTGCACGCCCACACGCCCGTCACCTAGCATGTGTGTTACCTCAACACCAAAACACATAACACGTATATTCAGGGTTCATACCCTCAAGTGCAACAGACTGTTCTTTTTTGACCGAGAGGTATTTAGCAACAGGGAAACTTAATTGATGTGGACATTCTAGAAAAGGTCCTTTTGCACCTTATCATGTTAAACTTAGCTGATTTCTTAGCTTATAATACTCCCTTTTTCGTCTCCTCTCCATTCCCAACCCCTTTCTTCTCTTCTATATGAGGGGGAATCTTAAATTCCAAAACAAGGATAGAATAAATCAAAAATCACTAAAATCCACCCTACCCCACCCCCACCCCTCTCCAAAAAAAACTTGCTAGAAATATAAAAATAACACTAAGTATAAGATTTCTGAAAAAAAAGCACGGAATCTCTTTGATAAATCTCAAGACATTTCAATTTTCTCCAACTATTAAGTATTAACAAAAATGAGAAAAGGGACAAATGTCAGTACAATGGGTGCATCAATGCCACTGACTACACTGTTCTCCTCTTTTTCCTGTTTTCACCCTTAAACTAGAAATGGAAAACTGATAAAAGACATTTTCTTTTACATTTAACATATAACACTCCACTTTTCATTCCATACGCCTTTCCTATACCATTGATAGTAAGGTGGTAATAAAAAAATACTTGAAACAATTAAAGATACTCCTAAAAATATATCACGAAAAGGACATATATAAAGAGAGACACTCAGATTAAGTAACTACCTTGCCTTATTATATTGTTCGCACAATCAATGGTCCTTGTAACTTCTGGGCATCAAAAAAGAATTCCCATGTCTAGGTTCAATGTGTTGCAATTTTGCTATCCTCTAATTTGGTTAATTAACAAGGATAAAAAATGTAACAAATCAAGAAAGATGCCCAGATAAATGCATGTGTTGGGAAAATGGTTTTTGAGTGTAAACAAGAAGACGAGGGTAAAAGAAAAGAAATGATTTGTGTTTTTTATACTAGTTCTTGTTTGAGGCCAAGGTAAAAGAAAAGTGGGAAAATAACGACGTAGTTTGTGCAACTACTTTTTTGGAAGTCAGTTCTCAGCAGTTCGCGGTATTCATTTCCTCGAATGTAGGGCCTATAAAATGCCTGAATCTTGACGTATTACGGTCCATGTTCATAAAGTTGACCATAATCTTAGTGTATGAAACCTCTATTGTTGTTTTTTTGGCAAAAAAACAGAAAAAGTCTAATGTGGACCCAGTTTTGGGCTTTTTAAAATGTAGATGTTTGAGCTCACTTTTCCCAAGAGACGTAGGTAAATTTTTGCCGGTTCTCCTTTATGTATCAGTTATTTAGTTAATAAATTTTTTCATGTATTAATATGTATCTTTTAGATCACGATCTAATTTGTTTTTTAAATAAACTAAAAGTTTGATGAGAAAATATTAAATTACGGTCTAAAATTTTGTAAATTATTGCAAACGTTAAACCATAATCTAATAATTCGAGTGCAACATGAAAATTATATGAGCAAATATTAGACTGACTCTAACGTTTACGTTGTGCAAGAAGAGTAAGTTTCGAGGGATTATATTTTTTCAAGTTTTTAAAATGGGGACAAAATCTAAGGAGTAGCCTGAAATAGGACATTTGCGTAAATCAGCCATAACTTTTAAGGCCCAACTGACGAAGGAAATAGAAAAATTATTATACTGTATATATTTTGCTTTCCCACAGTTTTTACGTAAATTTTTTGTTACTCAATAGCAGTGTTGTTCAACTTGATATACTGGCATGTTCTGTTTAGTTTACGTCTAAGTTTGATGGAGTCTTGTAACTTGAGATCAGTTGGTCATTGTAATTTCAAATATATTACTTTTGGTATGACAATCAACTAATTTACCGACTTAAGAGGTACAAATTGATGAGATTTATATTGAATTTTTACGCGCTTGATCCTTTTTTAACTATTATTTAAAAAATAGCATTATTTATTGTTTATTCCATAAAGATCACTTTTTTTTATTATTAGCATATTATAAAAATTAAGCTCAATATTTAATAATTTAACTGATTCACTAATCACAGAAAGTATTTTTTTGTCCATTTTCATTCTTCCTTTCCAACATTCATTTTCTTCACTCTATTTTTTAAAATCTGATGCATATATGAATGCCACCTAAATTCAAGATGTATTGATTTATATGTCTTTTATACTTTGTATATCAAGTATAATTTTAATTCAAAATGTATTTTTATGTATATAATTTTTGTATATTTATTTGTGAAGTGCCATTTTATTTTAATATGTATTTTTAATGTATATTTCAAATATATTTTATATGTCAAGTGCCATTTTAATTCAGGATGTATTTTTTTTATATATTTTTTTTGTATATTTATATGCCATCTTAATTAAATTTAAGATATTTTTTTTTAATGTATATTTCACATGTCTAAGTGTTATCTTAATTGAAGATATATTTTTTATGTATATTTTTTGTATATTTTATATGTGTTACTTCAATGTATATTTTTTATATATATGTTTTGTATATATTAACATATATTATTATCGAAGTAAGATCTTTATGTTAAGAAAGGAAGAAAGAAGGGAGAGAAAAACTTAAGAAAGATAATTAAAAAGAAAACGAATGGAACAAATTTAGAAAATATATTGGTTTCGGCAGAAAACAAAATCAAGAAGATGAAGAAAAAGAAGAAAAACTAATAGATAAAGAGAGAAAAAAGGCACGATTTTTGTACAAAGAATTATTGACTTTCCATTCAAATTGCTTATGTTTAGGGATTAATAATTAATATTCCTATTTTAATGGAACTGTGTGCTACAAATATAAATATTTTTCTGCCACAGATGTAATATTGGATTTCATGTTGTGAATTTGTTATATTTCTTTTAAACTGTAACAATTATGTAAAGTTCCCATTTATATTTTGGATTGTTATAATAACAAAATTGAATTGCGGAAGTATACTATGAAGAGGAAAACCATAACTCGAAAAAGGAATCGAAGAGAGAGAAATTTTATTATCTCAGAAATAAAAGAATGAAATATCTATCTTACACATATCTATATACAAAGAATAAAAAATTACAAAATTAGGCAAAATAGTTAAAGAGTAAATAAGTGATTGTCCATATAAAAATTAATTACATACTTATTACAAAAGTGTAGATGGGCCATATCAGATGGTTGGGCTAGTCGTGTGGGATGCTGTGTGTGAAGAGGTCCAGTGTTAACACCCCCCTCCCCGTCAAGCTGGAGGGTGATAACACTCCAAGCTTTCCCAAAATGAAGTGATGGGAAGCACCAAGTAAAGCCTTTGTAAAAATGTCTGCCAGTTGATATGCACTTCTGATAAAATAAAGGAAAATCAGACATGAATTTAAGCAATCTCTAACATAATGACAGTCGATTTCAATATGTTTTGTGCGTTCGTGAAACACTAGATTTTTGGCAATGCGTAGTGTAGCTTGACCGTCACAGTGAACAGGGACAAGAACAAGGTTGACACTATAAAAAGAAGAAGGGATGTCTGTACAAGGTGAAAAAGGAGGAGGAAAGGTAGAAGGAGAGGTGGAAGAGTGATAGGGAAAGATATCTTCATGGAAGGTAACATCCCTAGAAGAGAATACATAATGATTAGCCAAATTAAGTAACTTGTAACCCTTTTTTACCACAGGGTACCCCAAGAAAATGCTTGAAATTGTTCTAGAATGGAACTTGTCTCTACCCTGCTTAGGAGTGGCTGCATAGCACAGACACCCAAAAGATTTCAGATAATCATAGGAAGGAGGATGGCTGTGTAGTTTCTCAAAGGGGGAGACATTTTGTAAAACAATAGAAGACATCATGTTTATAAGGTAGGTAGTTGTTAAGACACACTCTCTCCAATACTTCAAGGGGAGTTTAGATTGAAACAAAATGGCCCTAGAGACTTCCAGAAGATGTTTATGTTTTCTTTCAACTACCCCATTCTGTTAAGGGGAATAGGGAATGACAGTTTGATGTAATATACCATGGTTAGCAAAAATATTATTGTACTTCAGAACTGCTGCCTAATTCATAGGCATTGTCAGATCTGAAGCACTGAATATTAGATTTGAAATGTACTTGAACCATAAAAGTAAAAGCTTAAGAATGGAGAGGGCATAGCTTTTACAGGAAAGAAGATGACTACAAGTCACCCTACAGTAATCATCAACCAGTGTGATAAAGTATTTAAAACCATTATAGGTCCTAATAGTGGCGGAGCTACAGTGCTCCAAGGGTGGTCAGCGCATAACCTTCGCCAGAAAATTGCATTGCGTATATAATTAAAATGTTGTTCTATTTTAATATATACAATAGCTTGCATACCCTTGACACAACCGGAAGAGGTAGCCCAATGGTGAAGGGTGTGCAAAATATTCCACTGATTGTAGGTTCGAATCTCAGTGCAAATTTTTGGTACAAACTATTTGTTTTATATTATTATTTTTTCAAGAAGCAATATAAGTGTAACCTTCAGATCCACTTTTCCAAATCCCAACCAACCTTTGAATTTCTTTTTCTTTTTTATTTTTTCAATAAACAAATATTAAAGATCATTATTCAATTGAAAGCTACTTAATAAAAAATTATAAAAGCTCTTTTCTAGACCTAAACCTAACTTTGTCAAAATAAAAAGAAGAAACACAGAGTAGAGAAATAAAAGACCATCCCTTACTTTTTGCCTTGCTGGCCTGCTGCGCTATTGTCAGATACCTGTGAAATCTTGCACTCTAACTCTGAATCTAATTCAATTTCAGGTTAGATTCTTTTGTCTTTTTGTTTTTTTGCTCAATTTATAATCTGAATTTTATTGTTAGAGTCTTTAGAGATTGAAAATTTACTAAATATTTCTAAATCTCTTAAATAATTTACAACTAGAATAAAATAATTGATACTTAGATGACCCGATTCATCATTTCCGAACATATATTTGT